ATATTGATCTTGGAAAGGTAATGCAGCTTAGTTCTGCTGAGTCACTAAAGTTTCTCCAGTTCCTGACATGCTTTATAGCTTCTTTGCTAAGACATCTTATGCGCCTGGCCACTGCTCTTTTCTTTGAACTAGCAACTTTTGTTTCAATATTGTTGAGTTTCTAATTATCATAAAATTCCTCAACTATCTAAACATGTATGTGCGAGTGTGGTGGTTTCAGAAATTCTCTTTACATATATGCCTCACTTCAGTTTGATGGGTCTGAACTAAACACATAATGTAATCTAGGTTTTGGTGGACATGATTCGAGTACCGGATTGGGCGTTTGAAGCTGCTGGTCAAGAGATGAGAGGCATGGGCCAAGATACAGCACCGTATCATCCTGGGCTTTATTTGACTCCAGCTCAGGTTGGTGCTTAGTTATTACAAACTACATTAATAATTTCCTTTAATCTGTTTTCTTGTTAGTGTTAAATTTTAAAATCCTTGGAGAGATCATGTAGAACCAGTAAGGAGAAGATATAGTTAGAGAGGAACTCAGGAATAAACAAGAACAATTAGGGAGAACAGAGTATCGGGGACAGAAACTAAGGGAGAAAACCAGATAACCAGATAGGATTAATAGACAGAATGTCTCAATAATTAATTTTTTTGGAGAAGTAATAATTAAATATTCAATGTGTAAAACCTAGTTGAAACTATAATAACATAGGTATTTATAACTAGATGCAATACTTGATTGAAAATGCAAAATGACCAGATATGACCCTAAAACTACAGTATTTGAAAATAAAAGTAAAATGCTAATCAGTTTTAAAAAATCCTGATTGTGTGTAAAAGTTATTATAAACCTGAATAAAATTTAAAGTAAAGCTCTAGATACTTTGATCCTCCATCTAAAGATGAAGTCCCTCAGTTTTTCTATCCTGATCTTCCCTCTTTTTCTTTCTCTTTTCTCTTTTTGGCCGTTTCTCAGAGAGAAGCAGTAGAAGCACTCATTCAAGAACTTCCAAAATTCAGGTTGAAGGCCGTTCCAACTGATTGCAATGAATGTCCAATCTGCTTGGAAGAGTTCCATGTAGGGAACGAGGTAGAACCTTTTACTTCAACTCAAGTACTTCTATAAGGTCTTCCATTTATACTACTAATGTTTTTGTTTAGAGTTAAGTCACTCTCCATTAATTATAAGTGACTTGGATTTGTTCCTTGTGAATTTTGGTTCTTTAAAAGTAATTTACATTATATTAAAATCTTGTTACGTTCGTGGGATATGGAAGTTTATACTAGCTGTTCCAAGTTTGCGGATTACTACCCCGAATATATTAGTTTCAATCACCGCAACTCACATTGATCATATGGAAAAAAAAGACCTAACAAATATAACACTATGATGAGAACATTTCCTGATTCTGAATCTGAAGGTGCTTGCAGAGAATGCTACTTACTAGACTGAAAATTTAGTAGATGACTTATTTTTGGTTTAGCATTAAGCTTGAATTTCTAACGAGGATTGGTGCAGGTTCGTGGATTGCCTTGTGCTCACAATTTTCATGTCGAGTGCATTGACCAGTGGCTTAAATTGAATGTGAAGTGTCCTCGATGCCGATGTTCTGTATTCCCGAATCTTGACCTAAGTGCTTTATCCAATCTCCGAAGTGCTGAACCTGAACGATCATCTGCCAGTGTAGTCACAACAACCCAATACGTGAGAACTCAGCCTCCCAGCCAGAGCTATTTATTGAGATTGCAAGGTCTACTCTGCCCAGTCCGAACAGGCAATGCTGATGCATCAGATGTTGCTTTAGAAACTGCCGAGAATGGATCCTTTAATGGGGTAGCTCAGAATTCTACAGGCACAGAAACTGTCTCCACTCCGCCACAACAATGAACATCTCTTCAAGTTTACTTGACAATTTTCACTGCATTTTTTTCTAACCTTTAGCCAAAGTAGGCTACACGATGACATGGCCATTGCTGAACACTTGCATTGTGCTACTGACTGTAACAAACGATTTATAAGTTGGCCGACCATGGGTAAATCACATCGGAACAAGTGTGTTTCAAGTTCTTCCCGGACATGTTCTCATTTTATTTTTCTTAACGACTGACAATTAGATTTCATTAATAAAAACAAAAACAATGGAAGGAATCATAACTATAATACACTTAAGCATAGAAAGAAAAACGAAGACGATAGTAAAAGAAAAACCTCATATAAAACAAAAAACTGGTATTTATTTTTGCCACAACTGAAATCTGCCTTGTCAACATTCGTGGCAGACATGCAGAAGGGTTTACGGCTCAATGATGTTTGTGGGACTTCCAGAAACATTGGAATTGGTCATTTCTGCAAATTTTATACAACCCACTCTATTGATGTGTTTGATTTTTCATTTTAACAACTTTGAAGTGTTCAATTCACATAAAAACAAATTCAGTCAACATAAACCATCTTACAGTCGAGAACAAAAAAAAAAAAAACAAGGTTTCCTGTAAATCATTGTTGGTTTTCCCAGAATGGAATTTACAAGGAATAAAACAAAATGCTAAACAAATGTACGGTAACAAGGAGTTGGATTGTACGGGCAGTTCTGCGTTACTACGTATTAATTTAAGGCTATAATTTAAAGTAATTTTCAATCTAAAATATGATCCGATTCAACATAAAATTTTATAATATTTACGGTTACAACTGTAAAAGTTACATTCCGTCAGGTTTTGGATTTACAATCGAAAAAGTTATACAATTTGTTATATTTTTTTTGTTTCAACTTAAAATATTATCATTTCCAACCTAAAATATTACTCTTTTAGTAATATTTCCGGTTGCAACCGATTTATATCTTTTTTTAACCTAATATTAACAAGTATTTTAGACTCACCCGGATTGTAGAAGTGCACCTAACTCACTTTGAGACTGATTCTACAAGGAAGATGTCATCGGTTGTACAAATAGGCAAGAGATTCTAATTTCATCTAACTCTATATTATGGGGTGTAATCAGTATTATCTTTTTTATTAGGGTTTTTTAACAGAGACTCTAAAAATACGGGAGAAAGCCGACTTCAGAATTAATATAGACTCTAAAAATTTAAATTAATATATTTAAAATTTTGTTCTTTTAAAATTTTATAAATTCTTTTTTCTTTAAAATTTTAAAATTTCACCTCTTAACATAAAATCATTCGTCCGTCTATGTTTATAATCATCATGATGAGTAGGAAAAGGTAATATGTGGAGAACCTAGTTTGGTTTTTTTTGGCAGTCAAAATTGTATGAAAGCATAATTTGTATATCAGTGTAATTGGACGGTGGTCGTACTTATTATAAATATTTCAAAGGTAACATAGATAGTTTACATATTAAATGCATATTAAGAGAAGGAAATCAAGTGGAAATCAAGTGTGAATGGTCCCAGGAGAAATGTCCCCACCACTCTTTTTTTTGTACTTGTATCAATTGGACAGACTTAAATTCCATCAATTTTGATAGCCATGTGAAAACTACACCAATTTTCCTTTGAAAAAACTATATACTATAAAAGATAATATCAAATTAATATAAATATGTATACAATCAATTATTGATATATGCGTCAATGAGGGTTGGTATAACTGGTTGGAATTCATGAATTTAAGTTTGTAAGGTCAAATTTGAATCTTACCACAGTTACTCTTAGTGGACAATATGAAAATTCCTATGTAAATCCCAATTGGGTCTTAAGTATGTCCTTACCCATATAAAAAATTATTTACATGTCCGTTTTTTTTATATAAATTTTTAATATTATAGAAGTATAGATTTGAGCATTAAATTTAATTTATTATAATTTGGATAAATATTGGAAGGACAAATTATAGATTCAAATTTTAATATTATAAATAAAATAATTGAAAAGGTTGATTTTATAATAAACTCTTATATATTTAATTTAAATTAATCGATTAATAAATTATATATATATATATATATATATATATATATATATACTAAAATAATAATTATCATCATTATTTCCGTTCACGAAATTGTTTGTAGATTGTGAAAACTAAATTTATAAACTATTAAAATATAATGAAATAAGGGGTAAACTGCATCCAAAATCAATTATGGATTTAATAACAAACATGTAAGTTTTCTACTTAATTAAATTTTTATTATAATTAAATTATTGGTGATTGGTCATTAAATACAAGACGAGAATAATGAGGTATTATGATATGATAACAATTTTATTAAATAAATTTACATAATTTATTAATTTGATTCTAATTTAAAATAATTTAATAAATTTAACCATTGATATTTAAAATGTCATTATTTTAGTCTTTATTTTTCTTCTAAATTGCTTATTATTCTCTAAAAATTTTTTATATTACTTTATTATTACTTTCTTGGTATAATAATAGTTTAACAATAATTTGTTGCTTTATGAAATAATACAATTATTCAACTACTGTTTTGATTTGATTCGTTCGTTTGCTTTGATAGTATAGCAAAAAAAAAAAAATTGATGAAATTTTTAGTTATGAAAAGTCAAGTTATTGAATTATTTCAAATTAGAAAAAATGAATAGAACGTGTAAATTTTAAGAACTAAAAATGTTATTATATCAAGACATATTAGATATTCATTTTAATTTTAAGGACAAAGTGACTTGTTTATAAATTTTAGAAGAAAAGTGACATTTTTGTTATCAAACTCAAAATGGTAAAAAGAGGTGGCCGGTGAACGCGTGGCGGTCGCAGTCAAAACTCAAAAGGATCTGGCTAGTGGGTCCTCACCTCACTGCTATAGATCCAACAAGCCCTGACCTGAGTGAGCCACCTGACTTTTCTTTCTGGGTTATTTCCCTTATTTTATCTTCTTGTGAAACAGAGGCAGCTAACTGATGGCTATATATATGAACTATGCATTATGACCCCAAAGTTCTCTCTCCAAATAAGTAACTTTTGATATATATTTTTCGCTCACTCCATTTCTAATTTAATTTGCTTCCGTGGGTGGAAAGATGAAGATGAACTCCGGCGGCGGACAGAGCTCGAAACCGGATCGGAAAACCATCGAGAGGAGGCGCAGAAATGACATGAAAACTTTGTGTTTTAAGCTCACCTCTCTTATTCCTCATCACATCTTCAAACCCTCCAAGGTATTGATTTGTTTCTATATCACCTTGATTCATAGTACTAAATTGCGTTACAGTTATGCAAATTTATTTCTTAAAAATAACTATGATGTGTCACGGTAACGTTATAAAACGTTATGCTATGTAGACACAAACTATGCCTTGATTTCCTCCCATGCTCATTAAACCAACAAATTTTGGGTTCTGCTGCAGGAAACTGTATCACAGCAAGACCAGCTTCATCTTGCAGCTACATACATAGCACGCTTGAGAGAAAGGGTAGAGAAACTAAAGAAGACGAAAGAAGAAGCGATGAAGTCGGTCGAACCAAACGGTAGCATAATGGAGGCGGCGGCTGCTCCGGTCGGTTTAAGTTCGCCCGTGGTTGAACTAAGGGATTTGGGTTCCAGCATTGAATTGGTTTTGATAACCGGATTGAATAGAAACTTCATGCTATATCAAGTTATCAGCATTCTTGAACAAGAAGGGGCTGAAGTAGTAAGTGCAAGCTTTTCCACTTTAGGTGGCAAGATTTTTCATTCTATTCATGCTCAGGTGACCAATCCATACAATTATTTTATTTCTTATTTATATACTTTATATTTATATATATAATATGGTTTTAATTATCATTTCCTAAATCGCAGGCTAAACTTTCTAGAGTTGGTGTAGAGACAACAAGGGCCAGTCAGAGACTGCAAGAACTGATTAGATATCACTGATCCGAAGAATAACTTGAAATATATTTGAAGTGTTACCTCTTATTTATAAGGGATAACATCTGTTATACAATATAAAATTCTTAGTTTTACACATATTTAAGACTGTTGGATGAGTAAAAATAGATAATTGATATTAACAATAAGAAATGAAAAGATATCCACTAGAAAAAAAAGAGTCAATCTCAATCATATATTTTTACTCATCCAACGATACTAAATCTGTATAAAAATAAAGAGTTTTATATTGTATAAGTAGATCTTAATCCTATTTATAAATATCGTTGTATATTCTCATTATTATGAAAGTAATTTAAATTTAGCAGTAGATAAAAATGTTTATGAATTATAGATTTAATTTTAATAAAAAAAAGTTACTTTTAGGTAGTGTTTAGTACTCTCACATGAATCCAAAATATGATTTTTTTAGATGGTTGTAGATAAAGATTTTGTTATCATAAAAATTACTTTATAATGTTCAGTATATTTTGGTAAATATGGATTAAAATCTCAATAAAATAAAATTAACATATTTGGTTTGTTAAAAACTTTCTTAAGAATGTATTGATATTTTTAAAAAATATTTTTATTAAATAAAATATAAAAATATATTTTTATTATTAACACATATTTAAATTAAATAGAAAATAATAACCTTTATTACAAAACATTTGAAATAATTCAGAAGTTATAATTTTCTTAAATCACATGCATGAATACATTCAAAAGTCAACTTATGAATTGACTCGAGATCGTGGTTATGAGTTATGACATTGTATGTATAAGTTTAAGTGTATTCATATAAATTATTATTTTTACATATAAATAAAAATTAAGAGAGAAGCAATTAAATTTACTATTGTTGATAAAAAAATAAATTGGTCTTGATAACTGTGAGTAGTTTATCCCTTTTCAGTTTCAGCAGAAAGTTATAGCTGACGAAAGAAACAATAAATTTAAAAATATTTTTTTAGAGTATACACATATATTATTAATATAAAATTTTTTATATGAGATGAAGATAAATAAAATTTTAAAGTGGACATAATCAATAAAATAAATAAATAATTAAAAAAAAAGATTTTAGGGTGAGCACGTACTCAATATGAATCCACCACTGGATAAAAGGACTGTCGTTGATCAATGAGTTTTTAGAGGAAAGAGTAGGTCATGAGGATGATGTAGAAGAGTGTCGACACCGTTTTTCGTCCGGGTGGGGGAAAACAAGTACCGACTTAGGGGGTTTTTCTTTGAAAAGGTTTTGAAATGTGAGGAGTTGTCACCAATCATTTTAAGGTACGATTGAAACACCATAAAAACCAGTGATTTTAATAAAATATTTTATTTTTATCAAAATATCAAGTTTTAGGGTTTACGAAAATCAAAAAATAAGTTCGGGAGTCAGTTACGCGTAGGGAAGGATTAGCACCCCACAATACCAAAAAATTGATACCTAGTTGATTATCCTATATTTAGAATCGAAAATTTTGAGTTCGAACTTTATCTAATTTAAAAATAATTACGGATGCAAAGTTGAAAAGTGTATTCGTTTATTAAAGCCAATAGCATTCACCCCTAGCATGAATGCGGGAGATCAACTATTGTGCCAATAACCGGAAATTGCCTTAATTTTAAAAATCATGATGCAGTCTTGAAAAGGATGTCGACCTATTTTTGGAATCACCAGTAGTCACCCCCTGAGCATACTTGCGGGAGATATACTATTGACTCCCTAATAAGTGAACATTGCCTTATGTTTTAAAATAAGATGCAATCAAACAATTTTTATTAATCATAATTAAACCAAAGATAGATTAAGGCTTTCTCTAGCTTAAAGTGTCAAATTATGAATAATTAAAGAACCTAGAGGTATAAACTTAAAATATGTAGGCTTTAATATTAATCATAATCATTTTTAACTAGTTATTAAATCGAATAATTGATATGGTCCCTTGAGCATTTAGGCGAGGGTCAACTCAAATTATTCCTTAAATTAAAGGACTAAATTGAAATCTAATATAAAGTGGAGGCTCTAATATTAATTTAAATTAATTTTACGATTCAAATAATTAAATTGGAACCTCGAGCAAAAGCAAGGACCAAATTAAGAATTCGCCTAATTTAAGGATTAAATTAAGAATAAGTAATCTAGATTAGGACTAAATTATTAAAAATCAAAATCAAGAGGTTTAATTTAAAGACTGAAATTCTAAGAGGAGATTAAAGAAATTGAAATTAAAGATAAAAATTAAAAGCAATTAATAAATACAAAAAAGACTAAATTAATATAAATAAAAAATACAGAGCTGAAATTAAAACATTAAGTAAAAGACTAAAATGCAAGATAGTAAAATAAGGTATTCAATGTGATGAAACATGAAACATACATATTGTAACACCTATAGACCGATACGGGTGACCCGATCCGATCCGAGGTATCACATTTGGCCCACCGGAGTGACCTATTGTAAAAATTCCAGAAAATTTAATTTTTTTGTTAAAACATGTAAAATCATAAAACAATTTATAAATGCAACAATAAAATTTAACAATATTTAGAAATAAAACAGATTCTAGACTCGGATATAAAAACAAAATACAATCTACATGCCCCTTAAACACATGCAACGTACTCCGTAAGCAATGCCGATGGAACTTCTTTACCGATGTCGATAGTTGCACTAGATCAATCCTTTTAACCTGAAAAGATGAGTAACAGAGTGAGCTTTGGAAAACTCAGTAATACAGAACTACTAGTTGATGTTGAAGAACATGCAGATAGTATATAAACATATGCTTCCTTATTGATTTAGATATCTACATACTTTTATGCTGAGTTGAGGTCCTATTGATACCTCAGATAGTAAAAGACTGTAAGCTTTCAGTTCAGAGGAAATGTTTCGGATGATTGGGTTCAGGAGATCAGAATAGGGTGTCTAGTGTGTTCCCACAAAACTAGTGAAAATGTACAAATCTTTTTAAAACAGTAGAAGTTTAAAATGTATTTTTCAAAAACCATAGTTGTCTCTCCAACCGAACGCCATATGCAACTCCCCAGAACTGCATAACCTAAGGGAGCACCTTGGGGCCTGAGAGCCTACCCAAGAAAGATTCTCAGGGTCATAGAGCCTACCCAAGGGTCGTCTTAGGTCTATAATGAATTACCAGTTGGTGTTGAATATGTAGAAGAATTACCATCAGCGAATGAACCTTCCAGAGTCTTCAATCATACCAGAGTCCCAGAGTACCACATATAAAAATAATTTCAGTCAGTAAACAGAGATATCAGAAATCAGAGCAGAGATCAGAACAAAAATGAGAGAAAACATCCATGTGATCAGAGAACACAGTAGAGGTTCCAGATATTATTCGGAGGTACTTGATAATTTTATTAGACAGGGAAACATGGATCTTCAGTATAACGATAGAATGCCAGAAGTTAGAATCACTATCAAAAGAGTTCATTAGCTGACGAAATCATCAATTGTTCAGAACGTGATTTATCAGGATCATATAGTATTCAGACATTTTTCGGAGGCACTAGGTAATCAAAAAGTTATTCAGAATCCTTTGCATCTGAGTTACTTATGTTTTCAGATATGACATGAGTGATTCCATTATTCAAGAAAATCATAGGCATTTTGGGCATTAGGTTCTTGGAGAATTCTTAGTGATTTAAGCTGATAAGGGATAAACGAAGATTTAGGGCATTTACAATTTTTGTCGTTCTATCAGAATTTCGAGTTAACTTGAACTGTACACATCCCAACCATACCTGTCAAATCGTTGCACTTCAAGAGTATTCACTATTTGATACCCACAACTCTTGTCAAATTGATCATCTTTAGAATCATCGCTGAATGGATCTTAGGGAGAAGAACAACTATTCCAATGGTCTTTATTTCATTTCTACATTACAACAATATCAGAGAATGTCAACGTGCTTGATTCGGGGTTTAAAACCCTTATGGACGGTATATATATATATATATATATATATATATATATATATATATAATCATAAGTGTTTTCAGACTTATCTAAGTTATTCGCTTAATTCAAGGTCATTGAGGGTACTTAGGTCATTTAATAATCAAGTCTATCTCGGTTACTTCAGAGTTTCCAAAGTAATTCAGTCATTTCTGAAATCCGGATACAGACAAGTCTTCCATTCAGTTCAACTAGGTCATATAATTTAGTCGTTCTAGGGCTTAGAGATATTTTTGATTATTTTACTTTTCAGGGGTATTTTGGTCATTTTACAGTTTAAGGGTATTTCAGTCCTTTCCCTTAGTCATGTCTTTCCATTTAATAAAATTTGTCTGAACAATGGAAACATAAATAATACTTCCGATGTTTTAGCCTTTAGGTATTTGCTGATAAATCAATAATTCTAGGTATTGTACCTTCTCGGATGCAAGATCTAATTATCAATGACTTTCCGAACATATAAGGAATTTAATAGGTGAATCAATAGTTTATTAGATTAAATGTGAATTCTCAGGGTACTCTTACTGTGAGGGTAAGTCCATACCATTTTTCCTATAATTTCGTAATTTCTTAACCAGGTGATTTTGGTATTAAAACTTTTAACAAGAATAATTAAAATTTAGAGATTCTGGAGTTATTTCCTTTTCTAGATAATCACCGAACTTGAAATCATTTCTTATCAATATTCTTATGTCTATGCATGTAGTTCGAGCCTTATTCATTTTATTTTACTTTATTTCACATTCGGATCGAGTTTAGAAAATGATCAATACATATATGTGACTAATTATATTCATCCATATAGTAATCAATACCAACATGTTCCATAAAGCATGAAAAAGGTAGTAATGTATTACCTCGATTTTTATGCCCTATCGATCGAAATTTAAACTCCATTCAATCACTCTCAAACTTGAATTCAACATCTAATAATTCCTCGGATACGTAGCAACCAAATTTACGTCAGAAACTGAACTTAATTGAGAAATCATATTGTTTTTTTTTTGGATAATTCAGATTTTATTACCCAATTTCAAAATAGATACAACCAATCAACAAATCAAGGGAAACAATAAAAAAGGAAACAACCTATACAAAAGAGATTGGTTAGATAATACCCCAAGCATTACAAAGCTTTAGATTAGTACTATCAAGTCTATTTATGTTAGTTCCCCTAAGTCTAATTCCAACGACATCTTTGACATCTTTGAGCAAACATTCAACTGTTCTATGACGTCCTAGGAAGACTCTTTGATTTTTTTCCTTCCATAGAAAGTAGATGCAAGCAGTCCAAGAAATTTTCAAAATGGTGGTAAGGAGAGACTTCCCTTTCCATGAAGAAGAAGCCCTTGAAACCATACCATCCCAAGACATGATCGATGGCTTCATCCCATTAAGGTTCAAAACAGATTTCCAGAGGTCTGCTGCCATAGGACAATGCAAGAAAAGATGGTCCCTTGTTTCTTGGTTAAAATTGTAGTTTACACAGTGAGCTTTTGAGCAAATTCCCATTTTAATAAGCCGATCTCTAGTAGGCAGCCTGTTGAGAAGAGTCATCCAAGCTATTAAACTATACTTAGGAATATGCAATGGAAACCAAATTAATTTATGCCAATTGACCTTCTGCCATTTGATTCGAATCATGTCCCAAATTTCCTTCAATTGCATAGGAGCGGTTGAGGTAATGAAAGATGCTTCAGATCACAATTTCAGTATCCGTTTAATAGTCCATCTAACGTTAGCACCAGCTTGGAATTGCCAGAAGTCTTGTTCTTTAAATACATAGGCATGAAGCCAAGCAACCCACAGAGAACTCTGCCCGCAAGGATTTTTCGGATGAGACTCATCAGGAAAACTTTGTTCCAAGTTTTTATATTCTTCAGGCCTAATCCTCCTTCCAATTTAAACAACAAATGTTGTCCCAGTTGATTCTTGCTCCTGCCGCAGAATTATCTACTCCTTTCCAGAAAAATCTGGAGCAGATTTGATCAATCTTCTTAAGAACAGAAGCAGGAAGGACCAATTGTCTACACCAATAATTGCTGACATTAAATAAAATCGTTCTTATGAGCTCTAATCGTTCTACATAGCTAATGTTTCTTCCAGACCAGAGATGGAGCTTGCGCTTAATATTGTCAATAAGCACTTGACAATCTTTCTTGTTAAGCTTGCGTGTAACAAGGGGAATTCCTAGATAGCAGACATGTAAAGTTCCAACTTGAAACCCTGTGATGAGCTTTAAATTCTCTGTGATTCTAGGCTGAATTCCCACGGCAAAGATCTCACATTTAGATGAATTCAATTTGAGTCCAGAAACTTCATAGAACTGGTCAAGGATACTTAGGACTCCCACCACTGATTCTATATTTCCTTTGCAAAAAATCAGAAGGTCATTTGCAAATGAGAGAAGAGTCAGACCAATCTTCCTGCATTTTGGATGAAATCCAAAAATACCTCTTCCGACAGCCAAATTTAACATTTGAGATAAAATATTCATGGCTAACACAAAAAGATAGGGTGAAAGAGGGTCTCCCTATCTAAGACCTCTTGCACATTTAAAATAACCGATAAGAGTCCCATTAAAAGAAATTGAATATCTTGCTTGAGAGATACAAGCTTCGATCCAAGCAATGAAAAGATGGGGAAGATTAAGAGCTTTGAGAATATCCGAAATAAAGCCCCAATGAATGGAGTCAAAAGCTTTATGGAGATCAATTTTTAGAGAGCATCTCGGAGAGATGGATTTCCTTCCATAACCTCTAACCATCTCCTGTGCAAGGAGGGTATTATCAATGATGCTTCGACCTCTAATGAATGATGTTTGATTCAAAGAGATAATGTCAGGAAGGAAATCAATCAATCTTCTTACAATGATTTTTGTGATAATCTTGTAAATCACGGAACAACAGGAGATTGGCCGGAAGTCTTTAACAACACTTGGATTTGGAATTTTTGAAACAAGAGAAATAATTGTAGAGTTGAAAGCCGGATGGATAGATGCATGATGAAAGAAAAATTTTACTGCTGCAATAACATCCGCTCCCACTATGGACCAAGAAGACTTGAAAAAAGAGGAAGTAAATCCATCGGGTCCCGGGGCTTTCTCGTTACCTTGACTAAGAACAACTTTATGGATTTCAGCTCTAGTGATTTCTTTGACAAGACTATTGGCAGATTCATAGGCAATGAGTAATTAAGTAGCTCTTTAAGAAGATTAAGGTTAATTTTTTTGACAGTAAGATATGATGTTCCGATCAGGTTAGAAAAGAAAGAAATAACCTCTTTAACCATAGCATCAAAATACTCTAATCGGTTTCCTTGGTCATCAACAAGAAAACGTTTGTGTCTCTCTTGTTATTATAAGCAATCTTGGAATAAAAAAATTTGGAGTTCTTATCTCTATCTTTAATCCACTGAATTTTTGCTTTTTGTTTAAGGAACATAGCCTCTGCATCTTCCAGATTTTTAAGCTCTTTTTGCAGTAACAATTCTTTTTCAATAGCTTTTTCTCCTTTTAAAGTGAGGAGTTGTTGTTGGTCCAACTCACTTCTCTTGATTTTAACTCGATCCGAGAGGTTACCGTAGTTTTCCTTGTTGAATCTTCTAAGGCAATCTTTGAGCCTTTTAAGTTTGGTGAAGATAATTTGCATAGGATTGCCTTGAGCAAATTGTGTCCAAGATTGATTTACTTCGTGCAAGAAATAAGGATGAGCAGTCCAGAAATTGAAGAATTTAAAAGGCTTAGGCCTATTAGCAGGAATTTCTTTGGAAAGTCAAGTAAGAGACATACAATGGTCGGAGATACCGGGAGCAAGGAATTCAACAAACGATTGTTGAAAAGAAGAAACCCAGCTTGAATTAATCATAACCTTGTCAAGTTTCCTTGCTAGAAAAGAAAGATGTTGCTTGTTACTCCAAGTAAAAGTTGGCCCAAAGTATGGATGATCTTGGAGTTCAAGATCATAAGCAAGATCTTGAAAATCTTGCATTTCAGAAGTAAGATAATGACCAAAGACTATATGGTCAGAGCTTTCATATGATTGCAAGATGATATTAAAGTCCCCACCTAGGACCCAAGGAGCCTTGCTAATAGCAGCTTCAACTTCCTTTAACTTATTCCAGAGTTGTCTACGAGCGATCCCATCATTACTCCCATAAATAGCCGAAATAAAAAAAGGTAAACCAAGATAGGATCCTCTTACAGTAATGCACTGATCAGAATTTTGAACAATAGAAAAGTCAATACCTTTCTTCCAAAGAATCTAAATGCTTCCGTTGTTAGCAAAGTCGTAATTGGAACAAGAATTCCAATTCTGAAACTTGGAATTTAAGATACCCTCAGCTTTATCAACCTTTACTCTAGTCTCCAAAAGACATAGAACATCAACATTGTATTGTGTAGCTCTAAGAAGCACTTTATTTTATTTTGGAGGACTATTAAGTCCTCTAATATTCCAAAAGCTAACTATCATTGAGGAGGGGATTTTGAAGAGCCCCCTTACATCCAACAGTAAGTCCTTTAGCTCTATCAAGATGTTTTTTCTTCTTTGATTTGAGCTCATTCACTAAGACTACAACACCCAGTGATGCTGCCCTAGATTTCCTTTGCCGATTTTCTAGATTAATTAGATTCTCATCATCTGAGTTAAGCAATGCAAATATGTTGTTAGAGCCTGAAAATGAGGCATTGTCCTTATTTTTTGATGGTCTGCCCCGACTCTTCTTAATAACAATAGGTGGAGCGGGTTTACCCGTTCCCTTAGAAACAGTAGGCTCTAAGCAATTAAGATCAATTTCATCAACAGTGTTTTGGAGAGAATCCTCAGAAGTAGCAACATTAATTTGAAAGTTATCCGTAGTATTAGAAGATTTTTTAACCTCTAACCTTTTTGGTTCATTAACGCCTACCTCTACCTTCATGCTCACTACATTCTCAACACCTCAACAACAGAAATTTGATGGCCAACATCTAGATGATCTTGAACTATTTGAACATTAGTATCTTTTAGTTGAGAAGCATGGATATCTAAGTTTTCAGGTTCTTGAAGAATTTCTACTCCTCCTACATGAACATCAGTAGTATTTGGTATGATTTCTCCCTTTTTTTTCCAGACTTGTGAAGCAGTAGGTTTGGGATTAGTATTATGAAGACAACTTTTTATCATTGTATCCGAATTCATTGCATCTCCTACATGATTGAGGAAGCCAAGGAACTTCTACAAAGATCGAAGTCTTTTGGCCATCCTTGAGAACAACATCAATATGCTTAGGAATTATATCTCTAACTCCTATTTCAATGTACACCTTAGCAAACTCGAGCAGTGTTTTAGAAGCTATAATAGTGTCCATTGAGATTGGGACTCCAATGGCGCTAGCTATGTAGCTTAAGCCTGATTTAGTAAATAACTCGAGAGGGACGTTATACAATTGAACCCATACTGGGATTTTTGACAGATTAAAGCTTAACCTTTTAATATTAGGTTCCCACTTCCTAAGGATGAGAGGCTTGTTAATCACATGCCAAGGTCCGTTTTTAATAACCCATTCTCTAGCTGTTTCAGAACTAAAAGAGAAAATAAAGATATTGTTCCCAGCAGAACTAACCTGAAGACGAGAACCCTACAATGCTTTGTTCCACAGATTGCCGACAGTACGATGAATAGAAGAAAAACTAGGAGCAACCCCCAGGAACTGTCCAACAAGAGAAAGTTTCCATTTAGAGATTCCATCCTCCAGTATTTCTGAAGGAGGGAGAATAATCGGGCTTCCATCGCGAATTTTGGGAGGAAAGAAATCTAGGTTTTGCCCTGCTACACCCCCAAATAGATTACGCCAATCCATCACAAAAACGTAAAACCACCGCAGACTGAGAGAACATGAAGAATTGAAAGTAACAAGAGGATAATCAGAAAATATCGCCGGCGGACATCGGGGAAATTAGGCTTCATTAGACCTGCTAATGTGCGCCCAGAGAATTCCCTTATCGTGTGCCATCTTGGTTTTGTCTGAAACAAATGCCACTGCTCCAACAATATAAATAGGCATAATTGGGTCCTTCATGGCTTCAAGCTGATAGAGTTGGTCAAGAAAACTTTCCCTCATCATACACACACCGAGAAAACAGACCTCTCCGGACAGTGAATATGAAAATTTTTCATCGCATGATGAAATAGTAGATATTTTTAACTGGTTTTTTCTTCTTCTTAGCGATGGGGAAATTTTGTATAGAAAGCAAGAGGAACTTGCTATGACTTTTTTATTAGTTAAAACATCCAAAAGCGGCCAACGGACAAAAGGGACAATAGATTCAGACTCAGGATGTCGAAAAAAATATAATAGCACTTTTTAGAAAATTTGACTTTTCGGTCAAAAGTCAACGATCAATGGGTTGACTCGGTCAAAGTCAACAAGTTGACTCAGTGAATGGACCAAACCAGGCGGGTCGGGTCGACCAGGTTCTAGAAAACTACTTAGACTAAAACAAGCCCCACGCGCGGGTGGTGGCTCGTGACAGTAATGGAAGGCTTGGGTCAGACGACCGATTTCTCCTACAACTCCAAATACCTAATTGTAATCAATAATTTAACCAACATCAGCCTAAAATCCATTGAAAATAAAGAAAAGGGTCAAACACTTACCAACGCCGATAACCAGACGAAATCGACGACGTTGATAACGATCTCAATCGGGTTTTGGTCGGAAACACCTGAGGAACACCGTGCTGGAGGCAATGAGGTGGAACGACCACAAAATTGGCCGTAAATCAAAGAAAACCGCAACGGGGGTTTGAGTTTCCTGGCAAAGCTTTGAACGGCGATTCGCTTCAATTAACGACAAATTACACCTCGACAGACTGTGGGTTTTGGTCGCCTGGGGAAACTGATTCGACCGGTAGCGATGGAGCATGGTGACCGTGGCCAGAGAGAGAGAATCGAGGACGATCGGTGCTAGGCATTGGGGAAAATTAATTTGGGGATTTAGGGATTTTGCTTCCGATCGAGAGGAATTGGTATTAATTATCTAGAAAAATTAGGAAAATTCAAGGCTAAGTCCCTGAACTTCCAAGATTTTTGAAACTAGCCAAAATATTTCATGAACTTACAATTTGGTCTTAACTTTTTACCTTATTATATATTTAATTCGGTACTTTATATTAATAAACACACACACATGCAAGACAAAAATAAAAAGATAGAAAATTAAAGTAAAAAAAATTAGAAGACTAAAATTAAATAAACAAATTAAAGGGTAGAAATTTAAATGTGCATAAAATTAAATAACAAAAATAAAAGAGACATTAAAATAAAATGTTATTGTTAATTTTTAATATTTAACCCAGACTGTAAATAACGCGAGTCGTACCTGGGGCGGGTCGTCCCAAGGTCGTACTATGGTTCGAACATAAAATAAAATATAAAAATAAATAAAAAGTTAGCGATTAACAGTTAAAAGTTAGAAAAGTTAGTTGTTAATAGAGTCCGGACCATAATAATACAGGTTGTGCCCCTGATCGGGTCATTTCAAGGTCATATAATAATTAGAAAAAATTAATAAAAAAAGTTAGAGTTAAAAATTAGTAAAGTTCAGATCGTAATAATGCCGGTCATATCTTGGATCGAGTCATCGCAAGATCAAATCAAACATTAACAATAAATTAATTAATTAAACAGTGGCTAAAATTCAATAAAATAAAGAGTCAGTGATTAATTTGAAATAAAAAAACATATGTGGTGACTAAAATAGAACTAAACAGAAAGATATGCCAAATTTGAAATAAAATAAAAAATAGGAACAAATGACCAATATCTGAAAACGCGGTAGAAGTTGGAGAACTGGAGTGCAGTTTTCCCCTAAAATAGGTGGCTAGAATACAAAAGTGGTACTAAAATGAGGGGCCTAGGTGTGATTTACCCTTTCTTTTAAACACTATATACCCCCTCTGTTGCACAATTTGGCCAAGAAGCTCACTAAAGCTTCAAAACTCATAATCGGCCACCGCACGCCGGCTGAGAGGCATAAAGCCAACGCCAACGCCGACGCCGACCACCCTCGAAAAAAGACGAGAAAGCAAACCCAAAGGTCAAAACGACCTAACAACTCTATCTTTCTCTTATCTTATGGCAAAAAAGGCCAAGACCTAAAAAAATGTCGGCCACCACATATTGGTGGCCATCCTTTGCTTCGAAGACCAATGAGGCTCAATTGGCCCCTAAATAAACAAAAAAGCCTCGATTTCCTCTTCTAAAAACCCATACTCGAGAACTCGAGGGCCGAACTAACCCATTAGAACTCACGAATCCGACGAAGCTCCGCTCTGACGAAGCACCTTCACCTACGACTAAAACGAAAGGTAAAAAAAACCCCTCTCCTATCTCTATTTTGCTACCACTGTTGCTCTACTATGAAAAGAACCAAATTTTGTTTATGAAAAATAGGAAAACCCAGCTTTAAAAAAAGGCTACCTCTCATCATTCCAGTATATTTGGGACCCTGTTACAAAGAAGGTTAGGGTTTTTATAACCCCAACTATTACAATTTTCATCATTTTTTTATAATAATAATAAAATAAAAAAGAGAAAATAACTTCAGTGACCGAAAATGCCTTATAATATACGATTTTAACCAAATTTTTTTGGATTTACAAAAATGACCAACAAATTCGCAACGCAAACTGTAATTTCGCAACACAGTTTCCAAATTCGCAACACAGAAGTCAAATTCGCAAAGCGCATTTATTTTCGCAACACGAATTTTATTTTCGAATTTGAAACACAATATTAATTTGAGAAAATAACTTTAGTGACCGAAAATGTCTTATAATATATGATTTTAAACAACCTTTTTTTGGATTTGCGAAAATGACCAACAAATTCGCAACGTGAACTCCAATTTCGCAACACAGTTTCCAAATTCGCAACGCGAATTTGTAAGTCGCAACGAATTCGCAACACATAAGTCAAATTCGCAAAGCGCGTTTATTTTCGCAACGTGAATTTTATTTTCGAATTCGAAACATAATATTAATTTCGCAACACAAATGTAAACATTATAATCGCAACTCATAACCTAAAACCCAAAATCACAACTCAGTCCCATCTCCATCTCTCACTCTCTACGGCGACATCCGTCCCCATCTCTGGCGACATCCGTCCCCATCTCCGGTGAAATCCGTCCCCATCTCCGACGAAATCCGTCCCCATCTCCGGCGAAATCCGTCTATCTCCATCTCTCAGAGCCATCCTCACAACCATTCACGACCACAAATGGAAAATCAACCACCGATGTTTAGTTTTTTTAATTATTTTTATTTTGAAATTTTTGTATTATTATTAGTTTTTTCATATTTAAATTGATGATAAATTTACTGGTAATTTCAATATATAGATTAACCATTTCACTTAGATTGCTTTGTAAATTCATTCGGTTGCTGCCAATACTGCTAAACTGTTTAGTCTTTAATCATGTGAAGTTATTATTTGTCTTTGTTTTGCCTTTTGGTTGAAATAATGCAATTCATTCAAGTTTCAATTTTCAGAAGAATAGTTTTTGAAACTTAAATTCACAACACAAAAATAAAATTCGAAACATGAAAATCGCAACGCGATTTTAGTTTCGCGTTGCTATTTTCATTTTCGCGTTGCGAATTTAAGTTTCAGAAACTACTCTTCTTCTGCAAATTGAAACTTGAATGAATTGCATTACTTCAACCAAAAAACTATAATAGAATAATGACTTGGGTGAATACCGTGCTAGTTTGAAACATATTTGGCTTTGTTTTCACTATTTAATATCATGTCTGTTTATAGTGTATAATTTGTAGTTTTTGGTATATCTAACTTGGTATGTTTATTGTTTTTGTTAGAAATTTTTTTCGGCTTCATTGACTCTAAGTAATAAATTAAGCCTAGCCATTACAATAG